CCTACTCCGTGTGGGAGGTGGAATCCTACTAGGACTAGGGAGTCCTAGTAGGACTCCACACCTTGGCACGCCCTCCTAGGGTTGGCGGCCTCTCCCTCTCCCCCCTTTATATACGGAGGCAGGGGCACCCCATAGACACACAAGTTGATCTTTTAGCCGTGTGTGGTGCCCTCTCCACAGTTACACACCTCGATCATATCGTCGTAGTGCTTAGGCGAGACCCTGCGCCGATAACTTCATCATCACCTTCACCACGCCATCGTGCTGACAAAACTCTCCCTCGTCCTCAACTGGATCAAGAGATCGAGGGACGTCATCGAGCTGAACGTGTGCAGAACGCGGAGGTGTCGTACGTTCTGTGCTTGAATCGGTTGGATCGCGAAGACGTTTGACTACATCAACCGCGTTACTAAACGCTTCCGCTTTCGGTCTACAAGGGTACGTGGACATACTCTCCCCGCTCGTTGCTATGCTTCTCCTAGATAGATCTTGCGTGATCGTAGAAATTTTTTTAAAACACTACATTCCCCAACAGGTTTGTCGCTGACCCATTCATTGTCGCTATCTTTCGCAGGAGTCATGGCCGCGTGTGGAAAGCGAGGGGAAAGGGGTCGGCGGCGCTCTGAGGGAGAAGGCAGTGACACAGAGGGAGGAGGTTGGCGAGCGATCTAGTCGGGGTAGATGACGTGCCCGGAGCGAATTTAGGTTCGGAGGGGAGCCACGAGAGATAGGAGATTTTACTTGGTCGCCTCCGGCCAGAGTCCTTGGTCGCCTCCGGCCGGAGTAAATATACTTGCAGGATAGGGGTTGGAGTAAATTTTTACTCCACTAACCGGTTTAAGGGATCGTCTAGGTGCGGCATAGAGGAGGAAAAATGAAATTATCCTCCCTTATAGCCAGATAGGGGAGCGGTTAGAAATTCCCTAAGAGCATCTCACCCAATAAATTCGGTTTTCCTCCTCTAATTGACACCTAACCAACCCTCAAAAGCTCTAGAGGAGGATAGTTTTTACTCCAACCAACTCTATTCCTAAATATACTCCCCTGTAGCTGGCTGGAGTAAAAAAATTGCTCTGAAGACGCCTTCGCACCCCCCGTTTCGTTCGTGTCATCGCGACACAACCTCGGACTACCGCCGCTGCACCCCCATCGCAGTCCGCCACTCGCCCGTTACCCTCGAGCAGCTCCAAGCTCCGTGCACGCACGCATGGAAGCTCCACTGCAGCTTGCCGACGGGCATGTGGAGCGTGCGTGCATCTACGGCGAGGGTCATGTGCGTGGTGTGGAGAACATGTGGGTGTTGTTGTAGTGAGTGTGAGGGTGCAGCCAAGGGCGTGTGAGACCAAGCCTGGCTTGGCCACGGCGGCCGGCTGGAACAACATCGTCACAGGCTTGTGCAACGAGGGGTTGCAAGAGCTTTTGCGCGTGTTGTGGGGGCGCAAGGCTGCCGCAGTGTGTGTGTGGGCTCATATAGGAGCGGGTGAGGCGCCGGTCTACCGAGCTTTGAAGCTCCGGCTATGGCAGCCATGTACAAATTCAAGTGGGGCAATGGGAAACGGAGCTGGAGAGGCAGGAAGAGACGCGACTCATCTTGGGAAGGTCGATAGTGAGTTGGGTGAGGGCCCGGGAAGTGGAATGATGATGAGAGCGAGATGCATATATTGGTCGGAGCTTGAGATGCAGCGAACAAAAGGGATGTAGAGGGGGCGACCCATGCGTTGTTGCCTCCGGGGCGGAGAAGCCAACGTCGGGGAAGAACAGGGACATGGTCGCACGTCCTATGGTCACCGATGACGCATCCTCCTCGTCGGTACCGGTGCTGCTCGTCCTAACGTGGTCATCATCATCGTCGCTCGTTGCCGAGATATATGCTCTAACCAATGCATCAGTGTTTGAACTAGAGTATTTGAGAGAACCAACTGCCGAGGACAGATACAAGTTATTAGCAATTGATGCAATAACAAATTTTCTATGTATACTTGATTCAGTTGGTTGCATGCATCGGCAATAGAAAAATGTCCGACATGTTTGCGCGAGCACTACTAAGGTCACACCAAAGAGGTCACCATCATATTTGAAGCAGTGACATCTGTTCAAGATACTTTCTGATGGGATGCTTCAACATGCAACTATACTATCAACGAGCATGACTACACCATGGGATACGACCTTGCCAATGATATCTTTCCTCGGTGGGCAGGATTTGTGAAAACTATACCCATCCCCAAGGTAACAAACAACGTCTCTTTACACAAATGCAAGAAGGTGTTACGAGGATATGAAGAAAGCATGTAGAGCGCTACAAACTCGTTGATGTATTGTTTGTGGAGCGGCAATGAGTAGTATTCGGAGAC